GCTAATGTTCGAAATCTAATGTTCGAAACATTAATCTGATGTTTGAAACATTGTAATAGGACCTTTCAGTCTATAAGAAAACTTTTAGAACTAAACAGTGTATAAGTTATTAATTTGGGATTTATTGGTGCATCCCCCTATTTTAAAACTTGGCAACTGTTTATGCACTGTTGTGTGGTTAATGAAATTTTTTATTTCGATAATTTAAATTATTTAATTAAGGTATGATGAAGATGAAGTTCGACTCTCTCTGTTATATGTTTGAAATAAAAAAATTTCATTATATATCTATTGATTATGAAATAAGAATGCACATTAATAATTATTTTAAATTGATAAAAGATCATTACACTTATTATTAAATGATGTAATAAAACATTTTCATTATAAATATGACATGGAGAGTATCATAATCGATGTAGAGATTATACCTATTTGATGCAGGGTAGAATAATGAGATGAAACTCAAGCACAAAAACTAATCATGAATTCGATCAAAGTGATGTTCTTCATTGAAAAAATGGGGTAAATTACATTGACACTTGAAGTTTGATCTAATTACATCCCATCATCTGATGTTCTAAAAATTACATTTCCATCCATATGATTAATAGTCTCATTTCACAAATTCCCTATTTATATAAAAGGTAACAATTTCTAATAAAAAAAATAGAGAAAATTATATTTTTTTAAAAAAAGTAAAGCAAAGGAAAGGGAAAAAAAAGAAAGAAAGAGAAAGTACAACAAAGTAAGAAAAGAGAAAGTGCATGAATTTAATACCTTCATTCCGTCTCAATAATTACAATGATAGAGAGGTTAGTGTAATTTTTCAACTATCAGCGAATGATATGTGTTAAATCTAAATTTTAGAAAGTGTAAGTGTAATTTATCTTTGAAAATATATTAATTGTCCAAAGCAATAAACTGCTTTGCCCTAAGGCTCAACCATTATTTATAGAAGAACAATCCTTAATTACAATAAGAAATAAGTTAAGAAAGGTAATACTTGCTAATTAAGTCTAAATTAAAGATAAGATCGGATTGGACGGTGTTGTTTGGTCCGTGCGGGTCCCGTTTTAATAATCTAAACCACTCAATGTGTAGAACTTGTCAGATACTATATGCCTGTAAACAATAATATTGATCGGATATCGATAGTTATGTGATCAAATTTGTTTTGTATATTAAAAAAAAAATGGACGGTGAACAAATTAACGGTTGACAAAAAATTAATTTGATCGCATAACTATTGATATCCAATTAACGTGATTTTTTACAGGCATGTGAATTATCAAAACGGGACCTGTAATGAGCCCCCATAGGCTGAACAACACCGTCCAATACTAGAGGTAAGCTACTCCCTTTTAAAAAAAAGAGAATTGAAGGCCCAAACACTAAAATTTGATCGAAATCCATAGTACACCTTGCTGAGTGATGGGTATTCATCGTAACATTATTTTCCATATCTCGAGCATTGAAGGCCCAGACATTGCTTTGATCAACCAATATAAAAATAAAACTATTATCCTCACTAAAAATATAAATATATTATTGTTTGTTGAGGCCTCCTATGTGTCTGTCTCATTTGATGTGGAATATAGGTTTTCTGTGCTGTAAGGGGCCAGAAAAACGATGAATCATGCTGCACTATGTACATTAAGTAGTAAATATTGCTTATCTATCTATCCATATATATGTTTTTTGTTTTTTATTTTTTTGTGTACTTTTCTTCATTCCATACGTTGCGTGTATCAAAGATGACTATCTCAGAGAGAGAACTGAGCTTCTGTGTTTTTCTGTCCAGGTAATTTTCAGTGATATTTTGACGATATTTTGGTGATCACCTTTATAATTTTGAAGTGTAGATCTATCCTCTTGGAGTATAGATTTGCAATTTTAAAACATAGATCTGGATTTTTTATGTCCAAAAAAGGGTTTTTGAGAGTTTCTCTCCCGATTTCGGCATTGATTTTTGGATAGCAGCGGCAGGGACGGCATCCACGGAGACGGCGGACTTTGAGGCAGTTCTTACTTCCCAAATTCCATCCACGAGTACATCGGTGATCTTCTCTCGCTTGTTTTGCTGTTTTTTTGGCGGCGTTGTTGTTCTTTTGGTTTGGTTTCGTTTTCTTTCTTTGTTTTGTTGTACTAGTGGCCCTTTGGAGTCTTCCTTTGTACGTTGTTGTTTCGGAAAAAAAAAAAAGTTCACTTTCTGGGATGAGGAGTTGGAAAATGTGGTCGACTGTGTATATGAAGAGTTCAGTGTGTTTGAAAAGATTAAGCTTTGCTTTTCACTTGAAAAGATTAAGCTTTGCTTTGCACCTCTCACATTGTCTGCACCCGAGTGTCCATTAATCCTTCCCCTTGATTTTCTTAATTCAAATATTATTTGTGGTTTTCTTCAAAAATCATCCTTCAATACCAAATTTGCTGGTTCCTATATCAAGGCCATGGGCAGTACCTCCCAACCAAGGCCACTTGACAACCACCACAAAGCTGCCGGCGCCACCACCACCAACAACCATCACGTTGGAGCTCCTGTGCTTTCTAAGATGATTCGCCAAGACCTTATCATGATGAAAGAGGCCATGGCAGAGGTTCAGAAGAAGACTGACCATATTAATGTGCAAATCAACCAGGTCTGTGAGAGATTTGAAGTGCTCGAAACAAGAGGAGGGAATGAGACTCAGAGAGAGCTTGGCGAATTGAAAAATGACGTCAAGAAGTTGAAATCCCAGATCCCCTCAAAGCTTATTAAAGTCAATCCTGCTGATTCCCAACCACGTCGAAATCCATGGCTTGACGGATCCATTAACCACAACAGCAACCAAGACAATATAAACAAGGCCTATTACGAAAACATGTTGCACAGTTTGCACAAGGACGCAAAGTTTGATCACATCGCCGCACTTCAACAATGCAAGGTATCTGTCCTTGGCCTCCCATTAACATTAAGGAATTGCTTGTTGTGTTTCTTGAGATTTCCAGAAATGGCTAGTATAAAGAAGTTTCTTATTTACTGGTGGATTGGAGAGGGATTTTTACCCCCAAACCCAGAGGACCAAAAAACAAAATCTGAAATTGCGTTGGGGAAGACGGAAGAGGATTTTGGCAATGAGATATTGGGTGAGCTTATTGCAAAGGACTTCATCGAGCCTATCTACAAAAATTGCAGCTTGGTTACGAATAGCTACAGAATGCTGCCTTTCATTCATTCTGCTTTAACCATTATGGCCGAGAGGTTTGGGTTTAGTCCAGTTTATACTCTGGGTTCAGATACTCCGACTTTTGCTCAATATAATGAGTACAAATGCTTGCTCAATGTTGGTGCAGCTATTATTGATGGCGGGCCTAAACTATTTTCGAAGATGAATCATTTCAAAATTCTTTACTTGGGAAGGTGGCAGAGATCAGTCACGCATCACATTGAGGTTGCAGATGCTAAAATACTCCATGGACTGAAGAAAATGAATCAGTTGAGGTTTCTTAGCCTTCGTGGAATTTCGTTGATTACAGAGCTTCCTCAGTTCATTTCACGGCTTACTAGTCTCAAGATCTTGGATCTCAAAGCCTGTCACAACCTTGAGTTGGTTCCAAATCGGATTGGTTTGCTAAAAAATTTGACACACTTGGACATGTCTGAATGTTACCTTTTAGAACACATGCCCAAGGGTATTGGTTCACTATCACAGCTCCAAGTCCTTAAGGGGTTCATCATTGGAGATTCCACGGATGAAAAATCATGTACTGTTGATGATTTGACGAAATTGACAAAGCTGAGAAAATTGAGCATATGCATGAGTATTACTACCGAATTCTCAACAAGTAAGCAGCTCGGTTTAGGAAATTTAGAAACCCTGCAAAAGTTGAAAATATCCTGGCCAAGGTACAATTTACAAGGTGAAACTGATGACACACCCAAGCAAAAACGAGAACAATCACAACCACGGTCCAAGCTGACAAGAACATTCGCATTCAAGGAATTGCATTTTGAAGATATCATGGTACTTCCTTCCTCACTGCAAAAATTGGAACTCGTGTGTTTCCCTAAAAAGATTACACTTGGGCATCTAATGTTTACCAATTTGAAGAACCTAAAGAAACTATACATTATAGGAGGGCCATTAAGTTGTCTAGGTCCATAAGAGGGTACCGCAGTTGAGATATTGAGATTGAAGTACTTGAGTGAATTTGAGATGCATTGGAGTGATCTTAGGATATTATTGCCCAACTTGATTTACGTGGAGAAAGTAGAATGTCCCCGGCTCACTAGTTTTCCATGTGATAAGAATGGTGTGTGGATGAGCAACTCGCTGTAAGAAATGGCATCACGAATTTACAATAAATTGTACAATTTCACTATATATGACAATGTCTTGTGAAATAGTTTCCTTCTCTCATGAAAGGGTAGCTACGTATTCATTTCTTGGATGAAAGTTTAGCAGGAAGCATTCGGAAATGGCTAAAGCATCATTTGTGAAGAATTCATTGCATTTTGTCTGTCATATTTATTTATTATTTTTTATTAAATAAGTGCACTTTTTGACTTTTTATGAAAAGATATGCAGAAAAGTAGAGAGGTAATGTGACCAAAAAAAAATAAAAAATAAAAAGATAAAAAAGTGTATTTGGTGTGATCTAATCAGTACTGTTTGACTTATTTTCACATCGCCAATCTAAGTTACCTAACTTTTCTTAATATAATGTAAAAGCTTCTCTATTTATTACTAATTGATTTTAAGTTGGATACTTTAAAATGATATTAAAGCTGAGTCTTGGGTGGCTTCTCACCTCTTGATGTACAACGGTCAATCTCTCGGTTAGATCTTTCAATCACCTCCACGTGCCATCGAGTTGCACTTAATCTCGCATTGCCAATCTAAGTCACCTAAGCTTCCTTAGTATAATGTAAGGGTCTCTTTACTATTGTCAATTGGTTTTAAGGAAAGGAAAAAAGGCAGAACATGAGTGTTGCAATGGGTAAATATTGAATATAATTGTCATAATATGTGACTCTATCATTAAATAATGAAAAATCTTATTGTTGTAACGAGGATTACTTAGTCAAAATGTCATTACAAATTATCATTTGGTAAAAAGTTAAAATGCCAAAGTCCATTTTGTTTATTCTAAACAACATCGAAATCCATGGCTTGACAGATCCATTACCCACAACAGCAACCAACACAATATCAATAAGGTCAGCGACGACAACATATTGCATAGCTTGCACAAGGACCCAAAGTTTGAGCACACCACCATATTTCAACGATTCAAGGTATCTTTCCTTGGCCTTCCATTTACATAAACGATTTGTTTGTTTTGTTTCTTGAGGTTTCCAGAAATGGTTATTGGAAAATTTTGCTTCAATTCTTCAGTTGGTGGTCTTCAGATCTTCAAAACTTGGCGATGATCTTGTCTATGTAAAACAGAAAATGAATGCTTATTGTGAAGGACTGGTGGATTGGAAATGGATTTTTACCCCTAAACCCAGAGGACCAAAAAATAAAAGAAGAAATTGCTTTCGGGAAGACGGAAGAGGATTTTGGCAATGAGATATTGGGTGAGCTTATTGCAAAGGACTTCATCGAGCCTATCTACAAAAATTGCGGCTTGGTTACCAACAGCTACAGAATGCTGCCTTCCATTCGTTCCGCTTTAATGATTATGGCTGAGAGGTTTGGGTTTAGTTCAGTTTATATTCTAGGTCCTGATACTCTTGCTCAATATAATGAATACCAATGCTTGCTTAGTGTTGGTGCAACTATTATTGGTGGTGGGCCTACACTATTTTCGAAGATGAATAATTTCAAAATTCTTTACTTGAGAAGGTGGCAGAGATCAGTCACGCATCACATTGAAGTTGCAAACGCTAAAATACTCCATCGACTGACGAATGTGAATTAGTTGAGGTTTCTTAGCCTTCGAGGAATTTCGTTGATTACACAACTTTCTCAATTTATTTCACGGCTTACTAGTCTCAAGATCTTGGATCTCAAAGCCTGTCACAACCTTGAGGTGGTTCCAAATGGGATTGGTTTGCTAAAAAATTTGACTCAATTTGACATGTTTGAATGTTACCTTTTAGAACACATTCTCAATGGTATTTGTTCACTATCACAACTCGTAGTCCTCAAGGGGTTCATCATTGGACATTCCACAGACAAAAAGTCATGTACAATTGATGATTTGACAAAATTGACAAAGCTGAGAAAATTGAGCACATGCATGAGTAGGGGTGTAAATAGTTTGGTTCAGTAGATTTTAAGAGTATATTTAGCACCGAACCAATCCTTTTGGTTTTTATGATTGATAAACCGATATAGACCGTATGCTATGGTTCAGTTGTATTGGTTTTATCGGTTTTGTCGGTTTGATGTAGAAGAGAAATTTACATAAAATTTTAAAATGTTTTATAGTAGATTATAGAATTTTACATTGAAAATAAATGAAGAAAATATATGAAAATTGCTCTATAAATGTTTTTCTCCCTAATTTTTATCACAAAAGTGTATTATATTAGTTACTTCTCATATAATGTTCAAGAAATTATAATACCAAAATATTAAATATAATATTCGGTTGGTTCGATTTGTATCGGTATAAAAAGTTTCAAAACCAAAATAAACCGTATGTTATGAAAAACAGACTAAAAACTAAAATTTCGGTTGGTTTCGATCGGTCAGCTCGGTTTTATCGATTTTTCTTACATCCCTATGCACGAGTACTATATAATTCTCTGTTAGAGAGTAAACTTGAGGTCTCCAGAAGCTACTTGAAGATGGTAGAAGGAGATGAAACATCAATGAAGCTTCAAGAAAGCTTATACCAAGTCGGAAGCTTAGAAGGTAAGAAATGGAATTCAAATTATAGTTACACACATAGTTGATACACGGGTTTAGAAACCTATAAATAGATGACGATATGTTGTTATAGAAATCAATTAGAAATTATCAGAACCCATACGAAGTTTGAGAGATAGAGAGAGGTGGGAGATAAAAACCCACAAAATTGTATTTGTTATTCTGAGAAATCAAATCATTCAACAGTGAAAAATCTAAAATCCCGAAGATATTGATTTGTGACTATGTATCAATTTTAAACAATAAATAGCAATCCCAATCAAAGAATCAAAGACAAATCAACACAACAATTTTACGTGAAAAAATCACAATTGAAGCGCCTTTAATTGTGATAAAAAAAAATACGGGCAAAAGCCACGAAACAATTCACTAAGAAGACATAAAAGAATTACATAAATGTACTCTCAATTACCTAGCGAATCCACGCTCGAATCAAACTGACCCCTATGTGCCTCTTCCAGCCCCGTCTTCACCTCGGAATTGTCTTGCCCAACGTTGAATCCACAACACCGATGTCGAATCCATGACGATGAACCACTCTGAAATCCACCAAAGCTTCAGGCTCAAATTCCACGGAATCTACCGAAGAACAACTCTCTCTTTTTGACTAAAACAAAATAAACAAACCCTTCGATATAATCCACTCAAGTCATGATTAAACTCTCATAGATATCAAAGGAAATAAGCAAAGAAGCTCTAGATGAAAACCTTAGATATGTAATTAAGAACAAGAATTGAGTTGATTATAATGAATTTGAAGTTAATATGTACATGCATGTAAGAATTGACCATACTTTTGCATATTTGAATGTGAAGTATGTTGATCATGATGTATTGAAGGTTGTTTGACACATGCATGTAAGAATTTCTAGGCATTGAAGTTTAATTTCAAGCCTTGAAGCTTGTCTATGCAAGATACCAAAACATAGAATGTGTATACATAAAGTTTATCGTTTGAAATTTGTTTAATCCATGGAATTTTGAACTATGGTTGTGAGTCATCTTCAAATATATGTTTTTGGGAGTGTGCTTGCATATTTGAGTGTATTATACATGAATTGGACCTTTGGAATTGTGTTTTGGACTTCAAACAGAATTTTGGAAATTCTAGAATTCGACTTGTCCACTCGAGCGGAGAAAGTCTCGCTTGAGCGTGAAAATTTAGCTCCTAGAAGTTTTGCAAAGATTTACACGGTGTCTCAAGCAGAAAACCTTGCGCTCGAGCGAACCCCATCTTGCAAGACTCCTCGCTCAAGCATCAAAAGTCTCGCTCGAGCATAAAATTCATGCAACCAGATCTTTTACAGAGTTTTACAGGCCGCTCGAGCGACCAAAGCTGTGCTCGAGTGGATAGCCCTGTTTTAGAAATTTTGAAAAGTTATTTTATGTTCCAATTTCCGTTCTCTTTCATTTCTAAGCATTCTTAGGCATGCATTAGATATTGTAAATGAACTAAAGGAATAAGAAAAAGGCCTAAGAGAAATAATAAGTTAAGAACTGCTTGTGAACCATTGTGTTATGAAATGTGTAGGGCCAAGCACGAGGGCAAATCCATCGGCAAAACACTATGAGTAATATCATAGTAAAAATATATTCAAGTATGTTATTTTCCAACTACTATTTTTGTATAAGCACCATGGATTTGCTGATTTGAATAGTGAATGCGTATTCGATTTGCCTAATGTTTGTATACGAGTTTCCGTTTCATATGAATTGGGCCCGAGGTCGTTCGATATGAATTGGGCCTGAGGCTGTCTGATATGAATGAATTGGGCCCGAGACCGTTTGTTATCCATAATGAGAATATGAATGGGCCTAAAGCTATTTGATGTGTTTGACAAGAATTGGCCTAAGGTCGTTTGATGTGTTTGACAAGGATGTTACTTATTAGACAATTTCATTCATATAACCTCTTTACTCTGGTATTATTCACCGGGCTTTTGCTCACTCTTATTTATATGTATATAGGTGAGCAAAGAGATGTCCAACCCCAGCCTCAGTGAAGCTTGTGAGAGGAGTCCAAGTTTTTGTGGAGTCAGCCCGAACGTCTCATGCACGAGACTTTGTTTTTGTTATTTTGTTTTATCCTTTTTTTGCTATTTTGACGGATCCGTTGGATCACCTATGTATATAGACCTTTTGTTTGGCTGGCCATATGTTTGTATGATCCTGGATAAATAAGATGTTAATTTCAGTTTATGGTGTGAGTTACTATTACATGTGTGGAAAATGTTTCGGTATGCCATGTAAGCACATCTTAATGGACAATATTTTTAAGACTACTTCTATTTGGCCCCCTTTACTATTTACAATGTATGTTTGGTTTTGTCTGATGCCAGAGGTAATCTTATGATTACTGGCCGGTTATGACCTTAACTTACCGATGCGAGTTTGGGTCATGACAGGGCGATTGTTAGGATTAGTCCACCTATGTGATGAAAGTATGTCCCATACAGTTATTAGGTTAGTTTGTACATATATTTGGGTTGGGATAATAGACTTCGAAATTTGTTAGTAAATCTAATATATATAGGATTTTGGCTACTTGATTGTATGGAACTAGGATTCTCATCGGTAGACTATTATAAATAGTCATATGGACTATAGAGTTTCTCAGAGAAAGTTCGAGAGAGCAGTTAAGGGATAAAATAGAGATGTAAGGGGTGAGAGAAAAAATATCATGGGCACCGGGGTGAGCAAGCACTCAATTACCCTTGAGCATGGATTCAGGTAGTGGTGTGGGTTTTGAGTGTTTTGTCCATGTCACATATATTCTCTATTTTATTCATAATCGAAGCTCTCTCTCCTGTGGATGTAGACAGTTTGGCCCAAACCACGTAAATTTGTGTGTGATTATTTTTTTTTCTCTTTAGTGTGTGCGTGGGAGTGCTTTCGTTTGCGTTGGTGGGATGTAGTATAAATCCCATCAATATATGCATCTTATTACGTATTTTTGTGGTAAATGTCATTTTTTTAGTAAGAGTTAAGACAATTTGTGGTTCAAAATAAAATTATGTTTTTTGTGGTACTGTTGCGTATTCTTGTCATAATGTTACATATCTTTTTATCCAATTATTTTCTAACCACAAAATATATAATAATACTATAAAATACGTAACATTATTACAAAATTGCGTAACTTATTGTGATAATGTCTACAAGAAAAATATATAACTAAGCGTTTATACCATAGAATTTTCTCTTTTTATTGATATATTTATAATACAACATATCCGACAACTAATAATATTACATCAATTAATTTATTCATTTCATTTTAATACATTTTTTTTATTAAATTAAAGACATTAAAGTTTTTTTTTTAAAATTAATGTTTTTGATTTTTAATTTTTATAATAAGTTGCCACACCTCTCCAAAAGCCAAATTCTTCTCGTGGTTAGCATGGAAAGGAAGACTGAAAACTAAAGAACTGCTACACAGGTTTGGAATTTTGGAGTGTGTTGATGGTCTGAATTGTATTTTTTGTCATGAGGCAACTGAATCAGTTGATCATATCTTGCTTCATTGCCCTTTTATTTGGCAAATATGGTCTGCTATTGCTTCTTGGTGGGGTTTTCAGTGGGCTATGCCCAGTTCAATTGAAGGTCTGTTAATGTGGTGGATGGGATGGAAGTTTAAAAAGAAAGTTAATCAGGTTTGGAGGGCTTTACCAGCAGCAGTATTATGGTCTGTATGGAGGTATAGGAACGAATGTGTTTTCCATGCTGTTCATCCCAATTTTCATGACCTGTGTGAGTGCATTAAGGTGAGAGTGGCTATGTGGCTGAGATCTCATATAAGTGGTGCTTCATTCTCAGTGTATGATGTTGTTTTCAACTTTCAACAGGTCCGGAGTTGTCTTGGGTCTTCATGAGTTGAAGGCGGAGGAGCTGCTTTTTTTTGCTGATATGTATATTGGCTGCTGTTTGCTGCTGTTGTGTCTTGTTTATGCTGGTTTTTTGCTCTGTTCTGCTGTTTGTTATTATTGGTGGAGTGGCTGCTGGTCGTTTTTTGGCGTTGATTGTTCTGCTTTGGTGTTGATTTTGCAGATTATTCAGAGTTGTTGATGTTGTCTGCTGCTTCTACTGCTTGTGTTTCTGTTTTGCTGGGGTTTTTTTGCTCTGCTCGATTGGTTTTGCTGCTGCAAGTGGGCAGTTCCTTCTTTGTTTGTTGTGGATGTTTTTGGTTGCTGTTGGTGATGGTTGCTGGGTAGAGTTTCATAGGCCAAAGGGGTGTTTGGTTGGTGGTTGATCCAAAAGATGGTAGATTGGGGTTTTGTTTCATTGGGGTTTTTTTTCTTGTTGGGTTTGGTTTCTCACCAACCTTTCGGGTCGAGCTTGCAGATGATTGGGCTCTCTACTTGGTGCCAACCTAATTGGGATTGGGTAGTTTGCTTTGATGCTTTGCGGCTTTCCCTTTTTATTGATGTTTTTGCATATGTAATGTATGTGTTGTCATCAATAAATCTTTCTTTTTGCTAATAAAAAAAAAATAAGTTGCCACATCCACACCCATGTTATTTGTATGTTTGATTTTTATTTAAACATTAATATTCATTAACCAATCAGTTACAAAAATTAATAAAATTATGAAAAACTAGGAATACCTACTTGATTATAAGTCTAAATGAGTTTGGTCCCTATTTAAAAGTGTTTTGTAATTGAAGTTCTTAAGTTTATAAATTTTGAAAGTATATACTTTCGTTTTTTCTTTCGAATTAACCTTTGGCTCCATCAGTTTTAAGTCGTTACTTACCCCAACACAAAGAAACAAACAAAATGGCGACGATCATTCAAAACAAGAACGAGCATTTGAAGCATTGTGAAGTAGGGACTACATTTGCCGATAAAAAAAAAAGGTAGGGACTACATTTGCATAGTATATACATAAGAGTTTTTTTTTTTTTATAATTATTTTTTTTCTTTGAACCTCTAATTATTTGGCTTTTCTTCGGTTCACATGTAAGGTTGATTTTTCAAAACAAAATTTGTCCTCACCTCGATTCCTTTACCGCATATGATTCACACTAACCTACCATTACAAACCTTGTCTAATTTGGTGGAAGAATAGTATTAGGAACACACGTATCAAATACAGAGAATGGGATACATATATCTAACATGAGATGAGATACTTTCAATCTGCTGAAATTCATTAAAGATTACAATTTCTTGTTTGTATTCTTTACTCACTGTGAGCTCTTCTTTACTAAAAAAAAAAAAAAAATCGTTCTATTTGGTTGGAAGATTTGGAAAAAAAAAGTGAAAAGATGTGTGAAACTAACATGCTATTTAGTTAGGAAATTTGGGAAGGAATTTTAAAAAGGAAAAAAAAAAGATATGTGAAACTAGGTAAAATATAAGTATATTTTATTCACATTTCACCTATATTTTCTCTTTTCTTTTTCAAATTCATTTCCAAATGCCCCAACTTCAAATTCATTTCAAAAAATATAGGTATATTTATTTCACATTTTACTTACCTTTTTCTTTTTTCTTTCCAAACCCGTTACTAATTCCCCCAACTTAGGAAATTTGAAATTCTGGAAAGCAAAGAATTAAGAGATTTTTATTCTCTTCAACTTCACACATTCTCTTGTTTCAGAAGTTAGAAATCAGAAAATATCTCACACATGGACAACACTATGTCCTGGAACGCTGACAATCCAATCTTCCTTCCTTTGCTAAATTTTTTGCAAACACATACCAAAGTGGATGACAAACTCATCCATACCAGAAAGCATTGCATGAAATCATTTGGTAACACATATTCTTATTTCTTAATAATATTCTATGTTCAAGACAATTGGCTGAATCGTGTAAAACCATTACATAGAAGTTTATTGATATTTGATGGGAATTAAAATATTACACATTTAACTCATTAATATACATTTTATTAATCTATTTGAAAAATCTAGAAATCTCCTAGATGTTAATTTGTGATTATGTATCAATTTAAAGCAGTATATAACACTCCCAATCAAACAATTAAGACAAAAGGACACAACGATTTTACGTGAAAAAACCACAATTGGACACCTCCAACTGTGATAAAAAAACCACGGGCAACAGCCACAAAACGATCCACTAAGAAGATTTAAAGGAATTATACAGGTATACTCTCAATTACCTAGCGAATTCACGCCTAATTGAACCAACCTCTATGTGTCTCTTCCAACCTGTCTTCACCTCGGAATTGTCTTTACGATGAGCCACCCCGGAATCCACCAAAGCTTCAGGCTCGAATTCTTCAGAATCCAAACCCTCATATATCATATTCTCTCACAAGGAACTCTTGGAATAGATAACCATCAAAACCAAATCAATCAGCAAAAAGAAAAAAACAAAGAAACAGATACAGGCGGTGCAGTTTTACATCAAACTAGTTCATGAAAGCTCATGCATTGAATCAAATAAACAAGCAGAAAATAGGAACCAACAAATATAGCGCAGTCGAGTGACTTCAGGCTAGCTATTGCAATACATAAACCAATAAATCTCACAATTTCTTGATTTCAAGATGACAATACCAAACACCACCAAAAAAACCTCTATTAGATCATACAAACTTGCTTAAACCAAACCAAGACACGAACCAACAAAAAATACTTTAGAAAGCAGTCAATTGAGAACATATCTAATTGGCAAATAATATTTAAGACACAACAATGGAAACAATTCAAGCAAGAAAGAATCAAAAGACATCATTTTTATTTTTACCTCTATAGCTTTGCTTGGTGCAACTCTAATCACATTCACAAAATTGCCCCTAAACAACCCTTTCCACCCATCAGTCTTCATAATATTGTGGAACACTTCAGTAGAAGAATGCCCACTACTTCCAACCATCAAATGTGTCCTGATAGTCTCCAATGGAGCCACAGCAGTCCTTGACACCGCCCCGGCGACCGCGCCGCTTATCAACCTTCTGAGTGAGGGATTAGCAATCTTGATTTTAAGCTTCATCCCACTCTTCTTCTTCCTCAATCCTTCCTCTTCAGTCCCCTCTGGAACACCCACAATCCGAAAACCCTCCGGCGAAGACACATACTTGACATATAAATCTGTATAAGGTAGCTTGAATCCACCATTGTTGTCTCGAGAATTAGGCGAATTTGGGGAAATGCCAAAACCCATATTATTACCCACTTGGCCAACACTAGCAAACAAGCCTCCTGGGTGATAAGAACCTTCAGGGAGACTCCATTGAAGCCCCAAATCGGAGAACCCATCTCGTTTGCCTTTCAAAACTTTGAATTCACTTCTACCCATTAATCAAAATCTTGTAAATAAGCTCTGACTAGGGTTTAAAACGCACCCAAACCCATTTTTTCATGGGTTTGAGAAAAAAAAATATGGTGGAGCAAGCAAGGAATTTCAGATTTGTACCTTAAAACACACAAGATTATCCAAGAAGCACAATTACTAGTAAACACAATGTGCACAGTCTGTAGAAGATTCCTCATGTAAGAAAGTGATGCATTATGTGAAAAGCATAGATCCCATGATAAAAGTGTGTGTGTGACTCTTGGAGTTCGACAAACACTAGATTCAATCCTAGTAGTGATCTGAAAGTTGGACCTCCGACAAGAGAATCTAAGCACAACTAAGGAAAGTCAAACCACTAGGAATTAAGGGGTATTTGGTGAGTAAAGGCAGAGGCTCCCCCTCAATCAATGAATCTTTTTCTTTCTTTCTTTCTTTCTTTTGCACATTTTTTCTTTCTTTTGCATATTTTTTATTTTTCTTTTTCTATTTTTTTTTCTTTTTCTTTTGCACAATCATTGGCGGCTGACACGCTCAAGAGTATGGAAACCGAACCAGAGAAGCCTGGATATAATAAGGATGGCCTGGTTGGTGACTCTGAGGTAGCCTTTTCCTCATGGCTAGACTGCAAAGAATTAAGGGGAAAGCCGTGGAGGTGCAAAAAGATGGAAGGTGGTTAAGAGACTTAACATCACCCATGATATGCTAGTATAGGTCAATTCATCTAGAAAAGCAAAAGATACAATGCCAGAAGTCCATAGAGAAAAATAATCACTAAGGCGGAGAACGCCAAAATTTGCTAATCCAAGAGTGTGTACAGAATGAGACATACTATTCAAAAAACACACACTCCAAAATGAGTAATGACCAAAGAAAGCACACACATATAATGGATATTCTCATCAATTCCAATATGTACCAAGGACCACTCAAAAATTTCAAGCTTGCAAAACCTGATTTTCTTAATTTTTTTGGAATTTTTCTTAGATTGATAAATAGGACATTCGTTCACATTAACAAAATTACATTTCAGAAATCTTTTTTCTTTTTCTAAACAAAGCAAGACATAAAAAAAAACATGCACACATTTTTTTTTCATAAAAAAAAAAACATACAGAAACCCAAAAACTAAAACGACTAAACAAATTAACACAAGTCAAGTTTTCTCACCCAAACTGCTTTAGTATGAACGAAGTTATGAGAATGGCGGTTCTTGGGTGGTGTCTTGACGTTGTGGTTCCCTTCTTTTTCAATGGGAACCCGTCTCGACATGGTTTCCAACTTCCTATTCCTAGGTCTAGGCAAATGCAAACTCGCTCCAAGTTTGGTCTCAAGCATATCAAAATAGCAAGGTTTATTATGACCCTTAACCTCCTTACGACCAATGAAGTGTCTCCCACCCCATGAGATGTTGGAATTTCTTCCATCTCTATGAGACACTCTCCCATGCAACTTATAACAATAAGGGCGAATATGACCATGCATACCACAATGATGACAAATAAAAACAGGATGTACCTTCTTTTCTTTTACCTTACCAACTCTAGCAAGTTTGAGAAGTCCATCCTTGCGTTGAATTTTTTATCCTGCTTTTCCTTGAGTTCTTGTATCATGAGATGTGGATGCATTCTGTTTTTGCTCTTTTTTACCACCAAAGCCAATGCCACTCTTGTCAGAACAAATTTGTTGAGACCCAATGATATTGTCCAAAGTCTTTGATCCTCTGTTCCAAAGACCAATGGTAGCCATAACACACTCGAGCTCTTCCTCTTTCTTGATCATTAGTTCTTCCAAAGTAACTTGTGACATCTCGAGAGATTCAATCTTTTCTTCATCCATGGCTTGGGTTTCCTGTAGCTCATTCCTCTCTGTCTCACAAGTCAATAGTTTTGCACATAGAGCTTGTCGATTATCAGCTATCTTGATGGCATCAATCCTGCCCTTGGAAATCTCCTCCTTAAGTTTGACATTCTCACTTTCACATGCTTTGAGTTTCTTTGTGAGTTTGTCATTCAATTTGAATAAGTTAAGAGACTCCTTATATAACTTTTTATAAGCTTGCTCAAGCTCTTCATGATCACTCTCCGAGGATTCATCATCAGCGGTATTCTCAACTGACCTCTTCGAAGACTCTGTTTGTCCTTCAGTTTTGGAAGCCGCCATGAAAGCAAGGAATTGTTTATACCCCTCTTCGCCTTGATCTTCGTTGTCACTTTCATCTTCATTAGATTCTGATTCATCATCCCAAGTGATGGCGAGGGCTTTCTTCTTCTTCAAACGAGTAGGGCATTCTGAAGCAAAGTGGCCAAATCCTTGGCATTCATAGCATTGGACTCTTTCAGAGTTCCCTTGTATCTTTCCTTTCTCCTTCATTTGGCTATAGGATTAATTTTGAGGTTATCTTTGCCTTTAGATTTATGAGTATGAGTAGATTCTAAAAGATTAGGATTCTTTTTCAAAAAAAGATTTTTTTAAATTGTTTAACAAAAGCAGCCGTAATCTTGGAATCTATCTCATAATCCTCATCAGAATCCTCTCCAACTCTATGAGCACTATTAAAAGCAATATCTTTTTGTTTTCTTTTTGAAAATTCATATGGTGCCCTCATAAGTTTTAGAGATTTCCAACCAACTGATCTAACTTGAGGTTGTCAACATCTTGAGGCCTCCTCAATAGCCGTAACTTTTGGTTGGAACCGATCGGGCAAGGATCTCAAATTTTTCCCACAACTTTGAATTCTTGGTATTTTTTCACTTAAATTGAAGCTGGAATTTACAATATCACTCAACTTCGCATAAAATTCATCAAAGGTCTCACTATCTTTCATTGAAAGGTTTTCGAAACTAGATGTGAGCCTTTGAAGTTTTGAGCGTTTCACCGAAGGAGTGCCCTCATGAATAGTTTGTAAGATATCCCAAGCCTCTTTTGCGACTTCACAATTGCAAATTGACTAAACTCTTCAAGGTGTGACAGCGCAAAAGAGAGAATTGATAGCTTTACTATTTCCAGCTACTATTTGGTAATCAGTTGTGTCCCACTTATCAATTGGTTTTGGGAAAAGTTACTCCATCAACAGTAATTGTTTGGTTCGTCCACCCAATCATGACGGATTGCCAAACTTTTTCATCAATAGATTTTAAAAAAGATCTCATCCGAGCTTTCCAAAAAGATAATTGGATCCGTCAAGTAGAGGTGGTCGAACCATAGAATTTCCCTCACGAATTGTATCCATTATCACAAATCAAACAAGATCTCTTCTAAAAGAATTTTTTTAAAAAATAGAACGACCTGCTCTCATACCAATTGAAAAATCTAGAAATCCCCTAGATGTTGATTTGTGATTATGTATCAATTTAAAGCAGTATATAACACTCCCAATCAAACAATTCAAGACAAAACGACATAAGATTTTACGTGAAAAAACCACAATTGGACACCTCCAACTGTGATAAAAAAACCACGGGCAATACAGCCACAAAATAATCCACTAAGAAGATTTAAAGGAATTTAACAGGTATACTCTCAATTACCTAGCGAATCCACGCCTAATTGAACCAACCTCTATGTGTCTCTTCCAACCTGTCTTCACCTCGGAATTGTCTTTACGATGAGCCACCTCGGAATCCACCAAAACTTTAGGCTCGAATTCTTTAGAATCCACCGAAGAACAACGCTCTCTTTTTGTAGAACAAAACACAACCTTTGATGTACTCTCTTAAACCATGAGTTGAATACTTCATAAAACATTAAAGAAAACTAACAAAATTTCCGCCAGATATAAACCTTAGAATCAAAAAGAAGATCTGGAAGAATTGTGCAGTAGTCTAGTTTTGGAGAGCAAACCAACTACTTATAGAAAAACAAAAATAATCCTAGATTTGGAAGAAAACCCAATTCTCATTGAAATCCGGAAAACTGTGTTCTTCTAGCGCGGCCGCTCGGGCGTCTTCAGCAAAATATGCGTGTGATATAACAGAGGTCCGCTCGAGCTCTAGAGAACCCGCTCGAGCGCGAAATCACACGTCTCAGTACTTTTACAGGCGACCAAAACTCTGAATCAGGGATTCTCGCGCTCGAGCGGGGAAGTGTCCGCTCGAGCAGACAGGAAATTTTGAATGCATTTTTACATTTTGCTTCGGGGGCGCTGCCCCATCGACCCCGCCGTGGCGCTGCCCCGGACCCGCCAAGGGGCGCTGCCCCCTGGACCCCTGCGAGCTGACCGGGCAGCTCGATCCCCGTTTAATTAGCGAAGTGGCAATCTGAAAGCATTAACATCACAAAACTTCTCTGAAATGCAATTTTGAGTTGAATTCAATCTAAACACTCATAGACTCACTGAAATAAAAGTGCGAAAATAAATACAACTGAAAGGAGTTTTGTCAAACGAGGATTGCCAAGAAATAAAATCTAACACTATTTATGTATGTTATTTTATAATTTTATGTGATTTTAGTATTGGTCATATTTTATATATTTGTACATAAATTATTATAAATAATATTATTAAAAGTTTTAATAAATACTAAATAAATAATAACAATAAAAAATGACGGGGGTGGCGGACAAAGCCACCGTCCCCTCCATTCTTTCCTTTCTTTTATATATTATTTATTTATTTGTTTTGCTTTGCAGTTGGCATCAATCACCCACTCCACTTGATTTGATGATGAATGCACATGGAGGATGACATTGCATTATTGACGCATTGGGATATTTCAAGAGTTTTGTGATAATAATTGAAGTATTTAATCATGAATGATTGTTTAGTCTAATTGGTTGCTGAAGCTTATCTGACTGAGCAAGGATCTTCTAGAGTTTTTTTCTCTAAAGTTTCTTAGAGTGGTGCATTATGTGGTTGGATTTAATGACAAGTTACATCAATTTTTCAACATTAAATCTCAACCACACATACACCACTTTAGGAAACTTTAGAAAAAAAAATATTTTAGAGAATTCTTGGTGTATCTGACTGGTTCAGACGTCCAAGTTCATTTTTATGAAAGCAAAATATACTTTTGGACAAAAGTAGTCAATCCAATTGTACCAAACCTTGATGTACTGGATAGAATTTCAT